CTGTAGGCCTACTATGTGCCAGTCCTGTGCTAAGAAGCATTTTGTGTGAATGATGTCACGTGGGTGTAGTCCTTTAACCTTGTTTTATACAGGGGAACACCGGCAGAGCGAGGCTCAGAGCAGTCACCACGATTACAGAGAGCTCAAGCCGGGCTGGGACAGGACTGTGCAATCAGCCTGCAGGCTCCAAGCTCAGCCTCTGTTCCCATCCACACACACCCATCCACCTGGCCTGACTCTCCTCAAACAATGACACTGAGAGAATTCGGGGACAGAATCAGTGAGCTGAGTCAGCACTGTGCCTCCATCCCACTTGAAGAATTTTTTTCCACCTGTCTCTTGAGCAGCTCTTCCAAGACAGATTTTGCTTTTCCAGTACTCACAATGGCTAAGGTAAGGTCTTGGGGATCAGCACTGAGGAACGACCAGCTTCTGCCCTAGACCTGAGACGCCTTACCCACGATTAAGGTCACTATTGGAGAGTGGCAGGAATACTCGTGACCATTCTTCTCACAAAATGGGCTGTTCCCCTTGGGCACTATTACAACTGGTTATTTATAAGCCCAGAAATCTTGTCTGTGTTTATGTTATTAGTCACTAAGCAAAAGCTTATTTTCCATCAGTTGGGAAGGGTTTCCTTTCTGAAAAATGAAAGCCTGTGTCTCTTGGCCAGACAGTTTTACCCAGAAGTGTGGTGGCTCCAGGACGGTAAGGAAAACTGAGGCCCTTGACATGCCAGGCCTACCAGGAAACTGCAGGCCCTGAATAGAAACTTAGCTCAGCCTGAGTCAGCCCACAGCACTGTGCCAGGACCCTGTGGTGCCCAGCCTGGTGCCTGCCCAGCAAATCGACAAAGCAGCACAAAGCGCCTACTATGTGGATGGCATTAAAGGAGTCATTACCAGCTCAGGAGAGGGAGAGGACAGGCTCGCTGGCAGAAACCGCGCGAGAGCGGCAAACAGGAGCGTGACCAGCTTCTGGCAGGTCCCAGAGAACGAGAAGCAGGAAGAGAGCTATGAATGAATACTGAGGCAGCCGGGTGCCCATGAGACGCTCCCAGGCAGCCAAGCAGGTGAGTGAACATTGCCAAGACAACAGAGAGGTGTGAAATGAAGGCCAGAGAAGAACAAGGAATCCTGGACTTGTCAGACCATTCAGAACTCGCTCCCTCCCACAGTGACCTCCCCCTCCCTCACGACCCGTCTGTGTCTCTCCATCATGCCACACACTCGGCCCCGACTGGTCTCGATTGTCCTGTGAAACCAGTACAGGGACCAGGAGCTTGGGACCAAAGATGGCTTCCCTAGATCTTAGAATACCTGCATATACAAAATGATACCTTGAGGGACCCCAGTCTAAGCATGAAATGTACTTGTATTTCATAAACATCTCACACAAATAGGCTGGAGGTAATTGTGCTGGTTAATTGACACAAACTCAAGAGACACCAGACAGGGACCCTCAGCTGAGCCCTCACCATTTCGGTCTGTGGGGCAACTTCTTGTTAACTGAAGAAAGGCACGGCCCACTGTGGGCGGCGCCACCCTCAGGAAATACACCCCCAGGCTGTATAAGGAAGGCAGTTAAATGACAGCCCGAAAGCAAGCCAGCCAGCAGTGTTCCTCCACGGCCTCTGCTTCGCTCTGCCTCGGGTTCCTGCCTTGAGTTCCTGGCCTGTGTTCCCTCCGTAACAGACTGTAACAAGTAAGCGGAAATAAACTCCTTCGCCTCAGCATTTTTTTGTCATGGTGTTTATCACCCCAAGTTGAAACAATAATCCTGCCCAATATTTTTAGTAACTGTGGGCATGAAACCAAGTTTCATGGTATGGGGTTTCCCATGTGTGGTCTATCACCTTGGTGCTCAAAACATTTATCACTTCGAAGCATTTATCACTTCTCTGACTTCAGATTTTTGGATTAGGGACACTCAACCTGTGTCTGCATTACTCCATTTCATAACTGGAGAACCATTACTCCCACCGAGGAACAACTCTGCCAGCACCCTTCAGTCACCCCACTCGGTTCCCTCTGCCACTAACCATCTCCCTGAGCTTATGAATAAGTCAATAGCATGGGGACATGGCTCAGCAGTTAGGAGCACTGGCTGCTCTTCCAGAGGTCCTGAGTTCAATTCCCAGCAACCACATGGTGGCTCACAACCATCTACAATAGGATCTGATGCCCTCTCCTGGTATTCAGGTAGACATGCAGAACACTCACACATAATATAAATAAATAAAATTTAAAAAGTAAGCCAATATCACAATAAGTTGATTATAATCCAATCAGGTGGATGAGTTTTGCTTCTTAAACAATGGATCATGTAGGATGTATTCTTGTGTGTGACTTCAATAACCCCAAATACTGTATGTGAAAAAAATTTAAATTGTTCTGTGTCACTGAAGAGTCCTCATTCTTGCTTGAACTCTCCATCTTCCTGGGGTATTGTGGTGGTTTTAGCCATTCTGCGTCAGGTAATCATTAAGCCAATTCCAGTTGAGGATCCTTATGAGCAGAGTTGCTGGGAACATTTATTACTTTTATTTTGTTATTGTATTTACTGATTTTGGTTTTATGTGTATGAGTATTTTGCCTGCATGTGTGTATATGTTCACCAGGTTTGAGCCTGGTGCCCTCAGAGGTAAGAGGAGGGAATCAGTGCCCCTGGAACTGGAGTTACCGGCGGTTATGAGCCACCATGTCTATGAAGGGAACTAAACCTAGGTCCCCTACAAGACATTTTTAACTAGTGAGCTGTCCCCCGCCCGACTGGGAACATGCTTGAACGCCACATGTCTTCTGATGCGTATCTGTCTGTATGCATTGTTGTTGGGCAGACACCCCAATGAGGCTTTGAATCCAAATGTGGGTGACTGAAAAAAATGCATGGTTCTACTCCGACTCTCCCTCCATTCACTCCCTCTTCCGGCACTGTGCTCAGCAAAGTTTCTGCTTGATGGAGTCCAACTCACAGCTTTTCCTGAACGCCCTTTATCAGCCTATGAAGTCGCTGTCTGAGCATTCTGCTGTGTGTTAAAGCTGGTAAAAGGATACAAGGCACAGTCTTTGCCTTCGAGGAGCTGTGTCCTACTTGGAAAGAAATGGAGCCTACCAAATGATCCACGAGCCACACTATGTATGGCTCAGACTTTCGGTATCTAGAGGACCAGAGAGAAGGACGGTGATGTAAATATGAACGAGTCTGAAAAGATTCCTAGAGAAAAGAGGCATGGAACCCAGCAGGCCAAATGACCAGGGGTTCGCTTTCGTCGGATATCTTTGCTATTGTTCCAGAATAGCACAGAAAATCCAGGCGCTCCCCCTTTCTTCTACCGGTGTCTTACTTCTTCCCAGAAACCAACTTGGATTACTTTTCTTGTTTTCTGTTTATTTCTATTTCAAGGGAGAGAGTGGGGGCTGGTTGCTAGGGTAACGCCTGCTCCTCCACATTAAACCTGAATTTTATCAGATGTCCATTCTGACAGTTCACGTCTGACTTCTGATGGTCTGGCCTTCTTTCACAACTGCACTAATTAATCACAAGGTTCCTAACGATTCTCTTCTGCTGCCCCCAAGGTTAATAACACAACTAGTGTAGCTTGAGAAAGGGCACACCATAACAACAACATTCTGGCCTGGGAGAAACCCTGATGAGTCAGGTGACCGTGGGGTTTTTAACCATCCACTGGCCATTTTCTGAACCAAATACACTAGGCCTTTTATTAGCAGGAGAGTGAGTGGGGATCAGTTTACAGGATGTTCTAGGTGGGGGCAGATGGTTCTAGAAAAATGAAAATTTTCTTCCTGTGGAGATAGAGGAGAACTTTGTGATTCACATGGCCTCTGAGGAAGGAAGATTGGCTTGCTGGTTTTAGGGACAGTGCTTAGGAGGTGACTGGTCAGAGTTCTCCCAGGGTCGGTTCAGATTCTATCTGTCCAGGGTACCTCTGCTCACACCAGACAGTAATAGTGCTTTATCAACGTCCTCAAACTGACAGAAGAACCTTCCCCTCCCAGGGGACTCACTTTTACTAAAGACAGGGAGATTCTCAGGGAAATTCCTAGCCTGCTTTTTATTTCAGAAACACAAGAATCTCTTCTTAAAGAGTCGGCTGCCACCTAATTAGTCACTGAATTATTACAGGATTAATTCTTCAAAAGTATTATTCCCAAGAACTAAATTGCAAATACCTCAGGGGCGAATGCTTCACAAAACAGTCCTGTGATGTCTGGAAGCCCCCTGCAGTGAGGGTGAGAAAATTCAGCTGGACTAATAGCTCCCATTGTCAATGGGGTGGTCAGAGCTGAATCACAGACAGGCACTTCCCAGTTTGGACAATGGAAGGCTTTCTGGTTCACACATGTCTTACAATACACCAGCACTCTTCTGGCTGTTGGCGGGAATGCCTGAGGAGAACCATACCCAGGCTGGCCACCCACTGCCAGGGGTAGGCTTCGGGAACTTAGAAGAAGAGGGGTGACAGTGAACCAGGTGTGGTGGTGTGTGCCTATAATCCTGACTCTCCGGACACTGGGGAGGGAGGCGAGTCGGGGTTAGAGACCTGGCCTCAAAAACGTCAGATAACCAAAAAAAGGCAAGGCATGGGCACTGTCCGGGGAGAGGAGACGCCGAAGGCTCACTAAGTACTCTGCCGTATGCCAGGGCTATAAAGGCTGTGGGGACCAACGCCAAACTTTAGCAGATCCAAGGACGAGGCTAGGATAAAGAAGAGGGTCTCGAGGGTACCAGCCTGGACTAGTTACAGGGCTCCATCCTCCCAGTAGTGGTGCGGTGGGGCATCTCCATGGCAACTCAGCAGGGCTCTGAGGTGGACTGGGCTCCATTGGTACCACCACAAACTCATCAGACTGGCTATGTCTTCTTCTACTGCTGTGTCACAGCCTTACACACACACACACACACACACACCAGAGGGGGCATGCGCAGACCAGTCACTATGCAAGGATGAGTGTCAGTCAGTCAGCATCCCTGGACTCTCACAACCACCCCAGAGAGAAGCAAGGGATCTAGACTGCCACAGTCAATCTCTTTAAACAAGCATGCGACCCTGACTCTCTTCCACAGACCTCAGCAGGAGGCTTTGCTGTGGGGGCTTGGCTCACTCTCAGCCACCTAGAAGAAAAGCCTGGACAGTACTCATCACCCCCTCCACTGTGGACAACTGAGTCACTCTGCAGAGCACCTGTCACTCCACTGGGGCTCCCTTGTAAGTGCCGGAACACGAAGATGTGCCAGCCAGCCGCTGCAGCAGGCAGCAAGTGTCACGGCGTAAGACAAGCCTGGATGAGAGCCAGGGTCACAGATCTGCAGCGGCAGAATCCACCCACAAGAGCACATTTCTGTGGAGGTGGTGGCGGTGGCGGCGGCGGTGATGGTGGTAGTGGTGGTGGTGATGGAGATGGTGGTGGTGGTGGTGGTGGTGGAGGTAGAGGTGGAGGTGGTAGAGGTGTGAGAGAGAGAGAGAGATGGGAGGAGGTGAGAGGACAATGATGAAGTCAGTGAATTCACTTATGTAGACATCAGACTCCTATGGCCCCCGAAAAATTAAGTCCAGTCTCT